GCCGCCCCTCGGGGAGGAGACCTAGGGGAAGACCTAGGACACGCTGGAGCGACTACGTCGCTCGGCTGGCCTTGGAGCGCCTTGGGTTCCCCCCAGAAGAGCTGGAGGAAGTGTCAAGGGAGAGGGAAGTCTGGGTGTCCCTGCTCAGACTGTTGCCCCCGCGACCCGGCCCCGGATACGGGGTTGATGATGGATGGATGGGATGGGATGGTGACATAAGCACAAAACACTGTAGGTCGCAGACCCCCGTTATTAGCTGACCGTAGTCACTCACTTTACTCCAAAAGGTGGCTGTAAACAGTTTGTTTGTTGACACCTAATTTTCTGCTAGACAAATACTCCAATTTGAGCCTATGCTGAGGGCAAAAACTTTTATAGTGATATAATTGTATTGTAAATTTGTGTTTCTCTTCTGTACCTGCACAAACACACCTAGAGTTCTCAGTGTTACCTTGTGCTGAGGTTTCACTTTATTGTCCATTTTATTTCAAAGAGGCCACGTTTGATTTTATATGTATCTAAGTCATCACTGTAACACCACTGCTGTATTAAAGTCTAGTCCTGAGCAATGATTGACATTTTTTGCCACAATTTAGTCACATTATTTTTTGGCAATTCATCTCGATCACTCTGGTCATGTGTCATTAATGCCAGCTCCACCCCTGTTTTGCCAGATCGTCCTTGCCAACTGGATATGCTAAACATACATATTACGTATTTTCCGGACTATAATTTGCACTTGTTTTCATTATTTGGCAGGGTTTGCGACTTTTACTCAGGTGCGACTTCATATATATATTATATATATTAAAATACAGCATTAAAATTACATTTCATTTTGACATTAAATAATTTTTTCCAATAAATTTTTGTGTGAAAAAATCGAAATTTTACTCACCATGGTTGATTTATTAAAGCAATAAAAGTGTCAAACATCCAAGGGGGTGAATAATATTGCTAAGCACTGTATATCATTTGACGTTTGTTATTTTCACACTGACAGCCCCTTAGGACACTCAAGGCTTGTGTACCAGAGTCTGCTACTCCAGTACCATTGAAAATGTACATGTTCGTTATTTTTACACTGACAGCTGTTAGAGGGCACTGTTGTGACTTATACTCCGGAGCGACTTATGGTCCGGAAATTGCGAGAGAGTTAGTTAATTGCATTTTTGTGCTGACAATAAGATGTACCTCTCTTTACACAATGCAGCTAATGTAATGTATTCCTGTTTTCCTTCCCTTTGAACCTAATGCACACGCATAAATGTCTTCGCCGAAGTGAGAATTATTAGCAATATACAGTCGGGCTTTGAGATACGAGCTACCCAAAATACGCGTATACGAGTAAGTTACGAGTAAGAAACCATTGCAAGATCTTCCTGGTGTTACAAGGAAACATCGAGTTACGAGTGCTCAACTGAGCTCCATTTTTCCCCTCGACGCTGTCGCACTCACTGTCCATCGCTGGTTTATTTTATCCTTTGCTTTATTTCTCCCTCTCTTTCTCTCTCTCTCTCTCTTTCTCTCTCTCTTTCTCTCTCTCTTTCTATCATCTAAAAATCAAGTCCTCACTCCCAGCCCTTCTCCTATGCTTATTGGTCCTGATACTGTGTCACATTGTCTCGCTCACTGTCCCTTGCTGGGTTATTTTACCCATTAAATATTATTATTATTTTATATTATCAAAATATTTGTTTATATCTATGTTTTTGAAGTTTAGATGGAGGGAATTTTATTTTAATTCATATTATATTTCTGGGGGCTGGAACAAATTAATTGGTTTTTAGTTATTTTTAATGGGGGAAAAGCTTTTTAAAAGTTTTGTTTTTGTTTTTTGTTAAGTGTCCTTACTTTTCCTATTCAGCAGACTTGCCGTGTAATCACTTAACAGAAAGAACACACAGGAGTGTGAACAGCAGTGTAGGAGACTACTATATACTATAAATGTTTTCATGTGTTAAAATAAATTGTCCTGGTGGACATTTGTGCCTCTACATGCACATTTCCCCTATGTGTTTCGGTGAATACTTTGACAGCATGATATCCTGTGTTCATGACACGCAATATTTGAATTGTTACAACTTAATCTAAAATCTTATGCACACATGGTAAAACAATCAAATGTTCACCACGAATCATCACTGACCGTAATGCGAGATAAAAACCATCCAACTTAGTGTCATAGAAGTTTTTGCCACCATACCACGCTTTGACTAATGTGTTTTTTTTTTTTAAAAATCAGTACCTTTCAGTATCTAGGAAGGAGTATTGTCTTAATCTTTGACTGAACAAATGTTTGTGGTTGTGGTTCATAATTTAACTGTGTTTTCTTTTGACATTTCAACACTTTTCTATGGTTGACCCTCACACATTATTGTCCCTGACAGTTTCAAATAAAGTAATTTTAACCTGCATAGTATTTGTTTTGTGTTTGATTTTTTTTAAAAACCGCAACACTCAATCTTTCACTCAAAGTTTGATTTACTCAAGAAGGAAAGAAATAAATTGTGTTTTTCATCTATCTGCTCCTGACCCCGCCCCCTGTTCAATTTTAGGTCATTTGGGGCCCGCAAGTCAAAAGGTTTGACCACGCCTGAACTAACTTGCTAAACCAAGAAAGTACATGAATTAATTCTGAAAATATACCCAGGAACATATTTGCACCAGGCAGTAGTGCTAGCAGTAATAGGATAGTGGTAGTAAGAAGTCATGCTTCCACAGCCACATTATTATTTGTGTAGTTAAAACCCTTCCTATTGGCTGGATGCATCACTAATATTGCTCTTTTTTTAAATTTATAGTCATTTTTAGTCATGTCTGGAGTGATTTTAGACAGAGGAGGGACAAGTTTGTCAATTTGAAGCTGTGGTGGGACCATGGTAAGGGCCAGATCAAACTTTTACGTCAACAGTGCACTGGCAATGTCACGTGCGACGTCACCAGATCTATTAAGAATCTGGAGACTGATATTGTATTGAGAACAACGACATGTTGAAATTCAAGTCTAAAAAGACATCTTTAGCCAATCTGCTGGATTCTAAAGTACAAGGTGTTATGGTCCAGTTCTGAATCCAAAACATCACAAAAATGGATACACCTCGTGCCTTCTTTTTTGGGCTTAGTAAGCAAGTCCATCCGCTGCTCTCTGAGTCAGGACAGGAACTGACAGAGCCGGGCCTGATACGAGAAAGAGCTGTTAGTCTTCTGTGGCGGCCTTCCTCAACTGTCTGAAGTGAACTCACGGCTCGACGTCCCGCTGACTCTGTGGAGCTACACGCTGCACTGCAATGTATGCAGGGCCGGTTACAGGCATCGACAGATTCGCTGTGGAATTAAATAAGGCTTTCTGAGACATCTTAGCCCATGACATTATGACGCTTTTCAGCAAGAACCTGGAGTCTGACTCACTGGCCCTATCATGCTGGTGGAGGTGTAACTCTTTGTACTGGCTGTTGAAATAGCCCCTTGTCTGTGGAGCTAGACTAGACGTCTGCTGCCAAACCGTACCCAGACTGATGGGGATGCTTAGCAGATCCAGAATCGTCTGCCTGGGTCAGCTGATAGACATAGCAGGACCGGCACTAACGGATAGTCACACTTTGAGCACTGTGCTTGGTGTGTGCTCTGTGCGCCTGGCCCAGAAGAGCCTGGAGCTCTGGAAGAGGAAACCCACGGAAAGAGAGAGAGGGAATTCTCCTCCTTAAACATCACGATCCACCTGTACAAGAGGTGAGTGCAAGAGGTTGGCGGGTCTTTTCACAATGTGTGTTATTTTAAAACTAAAAAATCTTATGTATCCTTGTGGTGGCAGAGTGTGACAGCCATACTGAGGCTTCCACTGGATCATTAACACCGAACAGCAGTAGGCTACTGATGTAGCTGTGTTTTACAGTTTTACATCAGCTGTCAATAAAGTATTTTAAAATCTCAATCTCTTTCTTTCTTTCCTTTTTTTTTTTTTACTGAAGCCCGCAGTAGACAACTTGGCACTCCTCAAAGACGCAGACATTTAGTTCTTCTTATTTTTTTTTCATAAAGCTAGACAACCTTTTACAGAAGCAAAACCTGTCAAAGTCATTTTGAAACAGGCACATTATTTTTGTTGGGATGACTGTGGCCAAAAGAATATATGCATATTTAAATTTTTTGTTGGGATGTTTTGTGGCCAAAAGAATATATGCATATTTATAAATAAATGCATATTTTAGTAAGAACTAGATACACTTCTCACTTTGCTCTCAATAAATTTATTCACACCAGTTTGAAAAGCCACTTCTTTGAAGTTGGCATTTAGAAATCACATCCAAACCCTAACATCTTAAGACATTTAAATTCCATAACAACTGCATAATTGCTTTTCAGTTACAGATAATTGTGTACATTTGGTCAGTTAGCAACACTTAGTTCAAACCAAGTTTAACTTATGATTACTTGAAGCTGAATGTTTGTCACTGATGTGTTAACAAAGACATACAGTATACACACACAGTTTCTTTTTTGTTTCTTAAAAATATGTTAAATTACACAAAACACTTCTGATAATTTAATGGACACATGTGTAAACATAAGATATTTATAAAATTTAAAACAACAAAAACTTTTTTCTTTATTTCTATAGGCTTTTATTTTTCTTTCTTTTCCTGGCAAAAGTTTCAAATTTTCTGGTCAAAACCTTTTTTTTAACAGGTCAGATAGTTTTCTGTTTATCACATGTTGGTCTGGGTGTTCTGTCCTTGGTCAGCTTTATACTCATTGTATGGAACATCTGCAAGATTAAAAAGAACAGTGTTAGCACCGACTAAAGTGGCAACGCTAGAATCTTCTTTTTAATAAAGTCTTTTTGAAAAATGGGTATGGGTTCCATAGAGGGGTGCGGGGAGTGGAGGAATTGCAGCTTTTGCAGTGGGGATGCAAAGCTGATTGAATTGAAGTCTTTTTTGAGAGCAGTTTGAGCCCAGCCATGTTGAAGTTGGAGTTGGTTATACAGGAGCTGTTAAAACACTGTTTATGTTCTGTTGTGGTCAGTGTGGCTGATAATAAAGACCCCAACCCCCTTGTTTCTGTTTACCTCTGCTGCGGACAAGCACAAAGTGAAGGGAGTTAGCCCCAGAGCTAATGTTAGCTTCGGCTGTAGAGCAGATCACTAAGTCTCCCCTGTGCAGGAAAGAGCTAACCTGTAACCAGCCATATTACAGGCACTGTTCGGGAATAAACTTTTATTTTATAAAAGTGAAAAAAATCTTTCTGTTTAAATATCCCATGTTACAACGTGGACACCTGCAGCTTATAGAGAAGTGCGTCCTATATATGTACAATTATTTTTTTCTTTTTAAATCTAGTGGGTGCGCCTTATATTCGGGGTGCTTAATAGTATGGTAGTCCAATGGAGTTTTGAAGCAAAAGCTGTATATGTGAAACTTGGGAGGTGCGCAACAATATTCATAGCTAACCCTAGCTATTTCCAGTTTGCAGTGGTACAAGTTTAGGTGAAAGGTCATCATTCACAAAATTATCCTTGGCACTGATATAGTAACTATTTAGTAATTATTTTTTATCAGATCATTTTTTGTCAGAACTATTTTTATGCACCCCCCCCCCCCCAAAAAAATTTTTTTTTTAAATACTACTGAGAACCTGATGATATGTATATTCTTATCTGAACAAACCACTGTATGAGTTGCCGGCAACAGCCTTCAACGTCCTGCATACAATACAAAGGGAACTCCCAAGGGATTAATAAAATTTTATCTATCTCTCTATCTATCTATCTATCTATCTATCTATCTAATCCATCCATCCATCCATCCATCCATCCACCTACCTACCTACCTACCTATCTATCTATCTATCTATCTAATCCATCATCCATCCATCCATCCATCCATCATCCATCCATCTACCTATCTACCTACCTATCCATCTATCTATCTATCTATCTATCTAATTCAAAATAGATTAATAAAATTAGCTGAGATAACATCAACATGCAACAACTTAAAACAATTACCAAGTTCATCTTATTTACTCAAGTTTTAAACATTTGGGGGATTTGTTTTGTGCGCGATTTTCAACAATTTTGCTTATATTTTAACTTATCAGAAGTGATAAAAAGTGCAGAGAATTTGTATTTCCTTTCTTTGAACATTTTGTTTATACTGCAGACGATAAAAAAAGCCACAGTTACATATTTTTAACTGAACAATTTCCCACATTAACTAACCAATTTGTGTTTATTCACTACCATCACTACCGACTTGCTTTCATGCAATTGTGTGACACTTAATCGGTTCCATTGTCCCAGTATATCCTGCTGTAACTCCAGCACTTTTGTTTACAAGTGCTCGGGCTAACGCCGGTAGCTGAGGCTAACGCTGCTAGCGGGGGCTAACGCTGGTGCTAACGCTGGTGCTAACGCTGGTGCTAACCTAGCTTTGTTTATGTCTACCATCCCCCGTGGCAACGGCCACGAAGGTGGTCTCGCGGTGACCCATCGCGAGAAGTGGAACGTTCTGCCCGTCTCCATTCCTGCATTCAATACATTTGAATGCCTTGTTTTTAAGCTTCCTGGATCTTCACCAACCATCATCGCTACAGTTTATCGCCCCCCCCCC